GGGCTATATTTAATGAGAATACAATTTGACACAAAAGTTTCTTTTTTGTAGTTAAAGATGCGCAGAGGTGACCAATACAAAAGCAAAAATGATGGACGAGTTTATTTTTACTTTGGTAAACTGGGCTTTCCTACAGGATCTTTCAAGCAAGTAAGTCATGCCCATGTAATAAAAGTCTGCCCAGGGCTGGGTATTGATAAGAGTGATATTCAAGATTTATATAAATGTTACAGGATAATATTATCACACGATTTTTTTTTTATCTCTTGGCTTGCTAGTGATGAAGTGATTGTGTTTACACAGAAATAATGAAATTATACCACTGAAATATGCCTGGAAGAAGGTTCAACCCCTTCTGGCATCCTCATGCCACTAAAGGAATTAGGTACACTCAAATGGCATGATATACAAAAACAAAAAGATGAATGGTGAGAGTATTCACACTAAGGTTGTTTTTACCAGCTTGTTAATTCAATGTGTCTAAGATTCCATCATAATTATTTTGATTAGGGGATTCAACATGGTGGAGAGTAATTAGCCATTCAATGCATTTTCCAGAAAATATCCAAACCCCACCATGGAAGGTGTTTGGATTTGATCCCCCCCAACCCCTCTGGAAGTTCCATTTTAGCTTCATACTGTCTTTTAAAATTTTTTGGCTTTTGAGACCCCCAGCCCTTTCAGAATTTTGGCTGCCCTTCCATGGGGTGGGCATGGCTATTTTTTTTTTTTAAAAAGGTCACTTTATTGTCAAAAAACTCTAACACCGATGTCGTATCATTCCAGGTCCTGTCAAAATATGTGAACGCTCTTTTAAACACCAAGGGTGGTATGCTAGTGTTTGGGGTGGAGCCGTCAGGTGAGCTTTAAAGCTTCAGTGTTGTAAAGATGCACTCACCTAGTGTAGTTTTAAAATATTCATTGACAGACTTTTCATTAGATACATATTGCTCATATATTTGTCAGAGAGGGCTGGGCATGTGAATCTTTGCACTCAGCGTTTTCAAAATGATGACAATGTGGAAAATATATTCAAGATCTTGCTATAATTAACCACCAGATGGGAGTTGTGTTGGCTTGTCCTTTGGCATGCTTAAGTCTGAATTGAGCAACCAAGGGTTTGACCCCTGGTGAGGGCTTTTTTGTTTTGTTGTTGGGCAAGGGACTTTACTCTCACAGTACCTTTCCTGGCCACCTGGGTGTATACCTGGGTAAATTTACTGCACTGAGAAAGCAGGGGAGCAATCATGGTATTACATTACTTTATAGAGCGGTTTTCAATTGAGTGTTGAAAGTAATTAGACAATTACTTTGGTTTTGGCAAGAAATTGGTTTGCTGTTTTGGTTTTATGACTCTCAATTGAAAACCACTCTACTAAACAAATAATGTTACTATGTAAAGTAACATTAGATAACATTACCACTGACTGCTTTTATTTTTAGGAAAAATTATTGGTTCCAATATTTACGGCAGGCAACAGGAAGACCTGTATAAGTTAGAATTGGATACGGAGGTCAGGGCAACTAGACCAACAGTGTCACCAAGCCTCTGCAGGTAATAAATTAAACACTTCCATGCAATAAACAAGGTATAAATAATAATTATTATAATAATCAATTTTATTTGATTTATTTAATAAACTCAAAAAATAAATCAATTACAATATCTTAGTTATTAAATAATAATTATAATGAATTAAGAATTATTATTTAAAATAAAATTATTGATCTAATAAATTAACCTTTAATTAGTGATTAATTACATGAATTTCTATATTAAATATAAAATGCATGTAATTAATGAGTTAATGGCCCCCATATGTTGTGTATATTGGACTAGATAAATTTGATGATCATGAAAGAGTGATTGTCTGGAGAACTGTGAAGCCCCAGCCAAACGATCACAACATTTTAATGCATCATATGACAACATTGAAGGCCACAGCATGTTGCGACATGTTGGGTGTTATTAGCTTAAGTTTGAAACTGGTCAAATTTTTCAAGCAACATTTGTGGTTGATGCATGATGTTGTACTTGTTTGGCCAGGTTCATGCAACAATGTTGCGCCAGGGCATGCGCACTAGTTCGATTTTGCAACACCCAATATGTCACAACAGGGTGGCTAAATGCTTGCAACGTGTTGTGCCCAACAATATTACCATTTGTTGTGGCAAAATGTTGCAATCGTTTGGCGGGGCTTCCAAATGCTGTTCCAACAATGTTGCCATGTGTTGTTTTGAAATGTTATGATTGTTTGGCTGAAGCTTTTTGTGGGGACATGCCTTTTTACAAACACATACATGTACTCCAGGTCTTAACAAAAGACAGCCATTTGTTTACTATCCTTGAGCAATTACATGTACATGTAAATAAATTTAATTTGTTTTATCAACTTCTTTTCTAATCAGGTTTGTTGTTACACAGTTGGAAGACTCTCAACATCTATGCATTGTAGAAATTAAAATCAGTGCTGGTCCAATCGGAGAAATATTTATGAACTCTTCAGAACAGGTAACTCATCTGTAGTAAACAGTTTAAGTTATTGATTTAAAATTTGTGGGGTGTTTTATGTGGTCACTGCAAAATATTGGCAGTAATAACATGCCTATTTTTAACTGAGTTGCTTTATTTTCAATCAGTTTCAACAGGAATAATATTGTACTTTACCTCTTAAGGTAGCTGGCAACAGTTTCCAATAATGTTTTGCACCATTTGACTGCAATCTCGTATTGTTTCCAGGTCTATGTTATCAGGAGAAGACAACTGTTTGGTCCTCTAATTCCTCAGGAAATCAAAGACCTTGTCATTGCAAAGTATAGAGAGGTAATAATGTTGAATTATTGTATTCTGACCAAGGTTGTTCAAAACCCAGGATTGGCAATAATTTTGATTTGAGTTTTGTAACTTTTTCGCTGAGGTTTTCTGTTCATATTGTTTGTCCTTCAGATTTGAGTTTGAATAAACTCAAACTAACCAAAACATAAGCGTAGAAAGACATTCATTTTTCTATACAAGAAATATTTACTACTTCGGCGAACTTTTAATCCCAGGTT